ACTAATTTTAGTTACTTGATAGAAGGGGCTTGCTTTATAGCATGCAAAACAGGCTGATGCATAACATGTAAAACACAGGAGAATACTGAAATGGTAACTTAGGAAGCAGTTTCTCAGAACATGCTATAAGAATATTGTTGCAGTGATCTCAAAAAGACAGAAACATACTTTTCACTAGCTTTCCTCACTTTCTGCAAGTCACCAAGAAAGTTTTCACCAACAAAACCAGTCTCAATTTTGTAGCTTAACCAAGTAATGACCTTTGTCAAATTTATGGTTAGCATATCCTTTGTTGAGTCCAATTTTTCAATCAATCCAGGATTCAGACACCATTTTAGTACACTGCTTGTCATGATTTTCAAGTCATCATATGTAAATCTCAGATCAACTTGTCCTTCTGGGGGTCTAAAAGGAAAGGCTAGACTTGTTATTACAGTGAAAGGAAATATGCTAATTTTGCAGGTAAAAATGACACCTTGAAGTGCTGTTTTAGCAGTATTGAAGACTGTCTTTGGATTAGTTATTTTTCCTTCTCAAACTACATGAATTCAAGTCTCCAAAATTTGTTATATATATCTTGTGTTCCTTGTGCAACAAATATGTTTTACACCCATCAATTACAAAATTTAAGAGGATAAAGGTAATTGATTGTTACATCAAAAATTCCTTGCAGGTGGATGTTTATCTTTAATAGTGTACAAATATTTTTCAAAATTTTTGTCTAGTTTCATCTATACCTATTTTGTAAACCAGGTGTACATGTTATTAATGTTTATGCTTTGTAACAATTTATCATTTGTAATACTTTTTACCAATAAAATTAAAATTTCACACTTTAGGAAATAAATAAAAAAAATGTATAACTATTTTTAAAATTCAGAATTTCTTTTCAAATTTCAAGGACTTTTTAAGGTATTGAAATCTATTTTAGAAATTCAAGCATTTTTAACATTTTTCACGTGTCACTGATTTTCAAACTTTTGGCCAGCTTCTAATTAATTGCATCCATACCTATTTTGCAAACTCTTAACTTTATGAACAACACAAACGTTAGCATTTTATAAAACATAATAAAAAACACATTAAAATCATTATGAAGGCAAACATTCAGGATTTTATTAAATTTCCAATGGGCCCATTTATAAAGAACTGGAGAAGGTATGCCATATTCAGCTGCTCTATTGCATTGTTGTCAAATGCATCATGTCAACTGCTGTTGAAATGTGCCCAGAAATTGTGGCAAATATCTAGCTGTGAAGACATCACCTTCCCAGAATCTCAATAAAAATCCATTTTCTTATTCTGTAGGACATTATTCAGGCTTTCGTCATATAAAAGAGCATAATCATTTTCTTTCACCCTGTCTGCCAATGGAGCTGATGTAAGGTGAAAGACCAAAATATATAAAATAATCTTATTTTCTGCACATGAAAACTACTTGGTAATCTAACTGCCTGGAAATAGTCTTTGGAACAGTTTGTTGATAGCAGCATTTGATCTGTAGTTATTGTCTCTCTCTCTCTCTTTCTCTACTTTGTGACGTGTCCAAAGAATTTCTGCAGTCAAGACATCTTCCTTAGAATTAATATGTTAATTATGTAAATCTTGTCAATTAAATGCTCTTGATATTGAAGATTAAGACAATGAAATCAACTAGAATAAATGCTCCTAAAAATTCTATGACTATAATTAAAAATTCAAAAGTTAATTAAGGAGAAAATTGAGAGAAGATGGGGGAGGTCTATACTTACTTTAAAAAAATGCTTTAATAGTTCATTTGTTCTATTAAAATGTTGACCTAATCATATTTAGAAATGGAAACTAAAACAAACCTGAGACTGGTTAATTGTAAAGAAACTCGTGACACTGGAGACTTTCATTCCTTTTGTTTCAAGATGCAATTTTGTGCTTCATTCCTGTCTCATGAGACTACAATGCACTTTCTACCATAAACTTCAAATCAAATATTTTTGAACAAATGAGGTATCACCAAGCAACAGCTTTCAGCAAATGACATGACAAGTATTTGTAACATTTTATCCAATCAGTTTTGCAGGATATAGCATCTACTGCTCATTACACTTTTTCATTGTTCAAATATTTCTATAGTGCTATACATTCCACTAATTCTTTTCATATTTTAACAGTGAAAACAAACTAAGGATAATAGTGAGTAACACTCATAAAACATCAGTAATCTTTTGTTTTTCAACCAAATAAAACAACGTGTGAGGAGTAGCTTGATTTAATTAATTAATTAGTTGAAAAACTAAAAAGAAAACATTGGCAAACTTTATATATACAAACCAGATACTACATGTTATTGACATTTATGCTTTGTAACTATTTGTTATTTGTAATACTTTTTACCAACAAAATTAAAAGTTTACACACTTTAGGGAATAAATAAAAAAATTAGGACTATTTTTAAAATTCAGGAATACTTTCCACATTTCAAGGTATTGAAATCTGTTTTACAAATTCACGCATTTTTAAGTTTTTCACGGGTCCCTGTGAACCCACTTTCAGTAAATAAATGTTACCATTACTACCACTTACAGCAATAATTCTGAAGGTGAAGATATGAAAACCCCATAATTTATGAGCTATTATTCAATTAGAAACAATACACAAGGATTAAACTATATGTAGCTTCAAAAATACAAAAGTCCTTCCCTTGTTTTTATGTAGACAGATCAAAGAAAGTTACCAAGCTTAAGAGATGGTCTTTTTACTATATTTTTATATTTAATCTGCTCCAGGTGTATTATTAAATCCTTCCAACACCTTCCTGCTTCATTGTCAAATCAATTAGGGCTATTTGCAAGATCTGGGTGGCAAAGATATTAGACTTGTAATGTACTTTTTCTCTGGAGTTACGTTTGATTTCTCTTTCCTTTTTCTTTTCAAAAATAGGTGTTTGGCAGAAAGTAATTATAGATATTAGGTTGTCAAGAAATTAATGTCGCTTTTTTTTAGATGAAAAAAACCTGAACAACTTATAT